CCGTGTGGCCTCACGTGGAAGGACTCCAGTTGGCCGATCCTGAGTTCCGAGCCACCGACCCGATCGAGCTACTTCTCGGAGCGGAAGTCTGCTCCATCATTCTCGAGGAGGGCCTCCGCAAGGGAGGCCCTCAAGCGCCCATCGCACAACGCACGTCGCTGGGCTGGATACTGTCCGGCGGCTGCGTTGACCCCCCGCTTCTAAAGTCGCGCGCGTCCTTGCAGTGCACGGCCGAGCACGAGCTCACCGCGCTCGTGCGACGCTTCTGGGAGCAGGAACGGGAAGCCTCCGCTCCCGTCGCCGCCACCCCCGAGGAACAGCTGTGCGAGGATATCTTCACTCGCTCGCACTCTCGCACCGCCACGGGTCGTTACATAGTGAGGCTGCCATTCGCCTCTCCGCCGCCAACGCTAAGCGACACCCGCAAACCAGCGGAAAGCCTGCTGCATGCCGTGGAACGTAAGTGTAGCCTCGACTCCCGGTTCGGGGAGCTCTACCGCGCGTTTCTCAAGGAGTATGAGGACGTCGGCCACATGACACGCGTTGACGACTCAACCAATCCTCCAAGCCAAGGACCGTGTTACCTCCCTCATCACGGGGTGCTCCGCGAGTCAAGCGCAACTACCAAATTGCGCGTCGTTTTCAACGGGTCGCAGCGAACCAAGGTCGGCGAGTCATTGAATTCACACATGCTCATTGGCGCCAACCTATTGCCAGCCCTCGCAGACGTTTTGATGCGCTGGCGCTGGCACCGCTTCGCGTTCATAACAGACATCGAGAAGATGTATCGCCAAATTCTCGTTGCCCCTGAGGACCGGGATCTCCAGCGTATCCTCTGGCGGCACTCGACGACCGATCCGATCCGCGAGTTCCGCTTGAACACTGTCACGTATGGTCTCGCGTGCGCGCCGTTTCTGGCCATCAGAACTCTGCAGCAACTCGCTACCGATGAGGAATCCCGGTTCCCGCGCGGCTCCGCCGTATTGCGCCGCGACTGCTACGTGGACGACATCGTCACCGGAACGCACGAGAAATCCGACGCAATCGCAGTGCAAACCCAGCTTCGACAGCTTTGCATGGCGGGCGGGTTTGAACTGCGCAAATGGGCCTCAAACTGCCCCGAAATCCTTGCCGGAATTCCGCCCAGCCACCGCTTACAAGGGGAGCCTCATTCTTGGGAGCAAGAGATTCACTCCACCCTGGGATTACGCTGGCACTCAGGCGACGACTCCTTCGCGTTCTCAATTCCGCCCAGCACTGTAACCAAATTCTCGAAGAGAACCGTTCTCGCGGAGACTGCGCGACTATTCGATCCACTCGGATGGTTGACGCCCGTCATCATTCGGGCTAAAATCCTCATTCAGTCAGCGTGGATGCAGCGGCTGGACTGGGACGAGCCTCTGCCGTCGGCGGACACCCTTCAGTGGGAAAGCCTCCTCGAAGAACTCCCGCGTCTCAAAGGTCTTCGCGTCAAACGCTGGCTGGGCACCGGAGCCGAGAACTCACGAGTTGAGCTCCATGGGTTTGCCGATGCATCCGAGCGCACATACGCCGCCACGATCTATCTCCGCCTGGAGCACGGGAGCGAAGTCAAGGTTCAGTTGCTCGCAGCCAAGAGCAAGGTTGCCCCAATCAAGCCCGTATCGCTTCCACGCCTGGAACTTTGCGCCGCCGCCTTGCTCACCCAGTTAACGGCTCACGTCCAGTCTATTTTGAGTTTGTCCGCAGCTCCCGTCGTTCTCTGGTCCGACTCCAAGGTCACGCTCCATTGGATCCGCGGTCATGCCTCGCGCTGGAAGACCTTTGTGGCCAACAGGGTAACGCTAATCCAGGAGCTCCTCCCTGAGGCTCGTTGGCGTCACGTTCCGGGCCGGGACAATCCAGCCGACTGCGCTTCCCGGGGCGTCGCGCCTACCACCCTTATCCACCATCCGCTGTGGTGGTTTGGTCCTTCGTGGTTGCTCGGGGAGCGCGCGGGCTGGCCTACGGAGAGCCCCGACGTCACTCAACAAGAGATCCCTGAAATGAGAGCCACTGCGCTCGTCGCCAACGCCGAGGCTGTCGAGGAACCGGAGCTCCTCCTCCGATTCTCCGAACTGCACCGTCTTCTGCGGGTGACTGCCTGGTGCCTGCGCTGGCGAGAAACCGCAAGGAAACCCGAAGGGAACCTACCTACTACGCTACGCCCCGAGGAGCTCGACTCAGCGCTCAGTCGGTGGCTCCGCGTGGTGCAGGCCCTACACTTCCCCGCCGAAGTCTCAACTGCCAAGGACAAACGCGCACCTCCGCGCAAAAGCACGCTTATCAAATTGAATCCCTACCTGGATGACGCCGGAGTGCTCCGAGTCGGCGGACGATTGAGGCACGCTGCTCTTCCTCACGACGAGCGACATCCGACCATCGCACCTCCAAGGTCTCACCTCACCCGCCTGCTCGTTGAGTCCTACCACCGGCGCACCCTCCACGGGGGAGTCCAGATCACGCTGGGGATGATCCGACTCCGATTCTGGGTTCCTCAGGGCCGGTCCGTCGTCAAACGGTGGTTGCATCGGTGCGTTACATGTACCCGATGGCGAGCGGCCACGCTACAGCCGCCAATGGGCGACTTACCACGGGAACGCGTGACCCCTGCTCGCCCATTCACTCGAACCGGCATTGATTATGCCGGTCCGATTTTCGTCCGCACGACCAAGGGGCGAGGGCACCGGGCGCTCAAGGCGTTCATTGCCATTTTTGTGTGCCTAAGCTCCAAGGCCGTGCATATCGAGGTTGTATCCGACTACTCGTCGGACGCCTTCCTGGCGGCACTGCGCCGCTTCACATCTCGTCGGGGACTGTGCACGGACATCTTCTCCGACTGCGGCACCACGTTCGTGGGTGCCGATCGGCAGCTCGGTGAAATGCTTCGGGCATCGTCCCCCGACGGCCGTCGCATTGCGACCAGGGCCGCGGATCAGGAGATCCGTTGGCACTTCAATCCACCGTCCGCTCCGCACTTCGGGGGCCTATGGGAGGCGGCCGTGAAGTCAACCAAGTATCACCTCCGGAGGGTCATCGGCGACACAACGCTCACATTCGAGGAAATGAGCACTCTCCTCGCCCAGGTGGAGGCCTGCTTGAATTCACGGCCTCTTCAGGCGCTCTCGGATGACCCCGACGACATCTCCGCCTTGACTCCAGGACACTTGCTGATCGGAGCGCCGCTGCTTGCCGTCCCGGAGCCGTCGCAACTCGAGAGGGCCGACAACGCGCTCTCCCGGTGGCAGCATCTTCAGAAGATGCGCGACCACTTTTGGTTGAGGTGGTCGCGTGAGTACATTCACACTCTTGCTGCACGTCCAAAGTGGGTCACTCAGGATGCCGCTCCGCATATCGGCTCGCTGTGCCTGGTCCGGACCGAGACGACGCCTCCATGCCGATGGCCCCTGGCTCGCGTTATCAAGCTGCATCCGGGCAAGGACGGTGTCACCCGCGTGGCAACCGTTCGCAGCGCCTCCTCGGAGCTCGTTCGGCCCCTCGTTAAGCTGGTGCTGCTGCCGGGAGACTCACTATCGGGGTCCCCATCCGGGGACACGTAGAAATCAATTCGACGCGCGAGATGACAGCACGGCGATTGCTGTCCCGCCTCCGCCTTTTGTTTCGCAATTTTGTTTACGTCTCACTTCACTTCACCAGCGCCGCACTCAGCTCACCTTACGTCACTTCACTTCACTCACACACTGTAACGCGATCAAAGTCTCACCGACCTAACACCGAGAGTGTCCGCGCGCGCTCCCGCTCGCGAACCGGTGCCATGGTCAACATGTGACACCTCATTACGTGCCGTCAGCAACTCTGCGCTATCTCGCGGTAAGATCCACTGCGCTGGACGATTCCGCGACAACCAATTCGCGACCGGCGCCACCTGCCATGACTCCAAGCACGCTAAAATGTTTCGTCTCGGCAATGACGAGGCGGGCGGGAATGTTCGAGATCGGACAGTCCACACGCAATGCATCGATTAATTCTATCAAGCGATCGATAACTTCAGGTGTACAGCGCGGGCTTCTGGAAGATTCGAGAGAGACGCTCAGAACGGCGAATTGTCGTCGCGTTTATTGTTATCTTCGCCTCGAGGGCACCGAGAAAGCCCGGGCTGTACACCTTTTCAAAACAATTAGCTCCGAAATGTTGTGACTTGCTCGCGTCTTCGCAACGACGGCGAGCTCGTGTCAACGCTTCTTCGCCAGCAAATAACGAACGCTACCGCCAATCGTGTCGACCGCAGCGCAAACGCCCCTGTCGCGCACGCGTCAAAGCGCGCGGGGACTCTCGATTGCCAATCACTCTTGATAATCGAGGGTCACCTTAAAACTTTCAAACAGGTTGAGGGTTGATTGGTGCCCCACCGACTGGGGGGCAAAATTTGGGCGCAAATAAATGAACCGGCCGCATTCCGCCACAGACAGAGCCACTAGAGTCGCGTGTTTCTCCACTTCGTCGAATTTAGCTTGCGCCTTACCGAACTTTTCTTTGTGTACCGACCCGCAATAATTCTGGACTACTCTCTTGTATAACGAAATAAAATTAGTTTTGGCTTGTTCTTTATTAAGTCTTGAGTGCTGCATTTTCTACAGTTTTGTCCGCTCCTCTTTGTCCGCGTCCGCGTTGTCAACCGCGCTTCCGAACAGTCGGAGACGTCTTGATTAGCGCAGACGCCAGGGTGTGCATATTAATTTCCTTGGGATCAAGCACCCGCACAGACCTGCTGACAAAGATGGGGTGCGGGATGGGGTAAATGATATGAATGTGACATATATAAATGGCCCGAAAGCCTACAAACTACCACAGTAGGAGAAATCATCTGGAAAGAAACAGCCAAGACGATTCGCAGCTTTTAATCTGACTACCACAGTAGGAGAAATCATCTGGAAAGAAACAGCCAAGACGATTCGCAGCTTTTAATCTGAAGAAATTTATTTTTAACACGAAGAAATAGGTAAGTTCAAATTATTCTTTAGATCAAGCTCGTCACCGCTCAGGTTGATGATAATGAGATTAATGTTTACAGAACCATGCGGCCTCCCGTTGATGATAGGAGCGAGGCGGAAAGACTAGAATGGTATGGCCCCATAGACGGGGTCCTACCCGAATTGTATGAGGCATATCATACCTTTTTTCAAGGTCTATGCATAACATCTGCAGGCAACGAAGAGATATTCATGAGCGACGACGGAGATAAACTGCGGCTGTGCCGCGATTGTTACAACAACATGGGGAGACCGAATAACTACGTATCGAAAACCGCGTGGCACGGATTTTGTGCCCCAGTCCAATACATATCGACATTGAAATCGTATTGTTACGGGTGTCGTAAATTTATAATGAATGCCATCCCGGCATTCTTATGTAGAGACTGCCTAGAGACGTTTGTTGTAAATCAACGGGAGTACGAAATAAATAAGTTATATAGGAAAAGCCTGGAGGAAGAAGTAGTTGTAAGGTATTTGTAAAATAAATTAAATTAGTATAGGGATCGCTTTAAAATAAATATACATTATATATGTAGGATTAAGTGTAATCGTTTAATTATATTTTAAGTTTTGTAACATTCCCGCCAACGAGTATTGTCCAGCGTGCGCTATAGAGTAACGGTAGATTGGTGTAAGAGAGCGTTCGCGATGAAGAG